CAAGTGGATGTAAACCCATGTTTTTCTTCCACCTGCTGCCGTAGGAACTGGGCAAAATGTGATCCCAAGATGAGGCGCATATAGGCTAGGTTGCTTAGGTCAGGGGTGGAAACGGGTAAGCCTTCAACACATCCGGCAATGCTCGTCACATCGCAGTGAAATCCTCGTTCAGGATCACTTCTGGAAAGGCAAAAGAAAGACTCTTCTAGGGACGCCCGGTTGAGGCAGGATAAGTTGTACTCAATGATATCCGTTACGTCTGCGAGAGCATTGTGGTCTTAGCCAACACAATAATTTGGTTAGGATGCGAGATGACAACATACCCATGAACACCTCATCAAATCCCAGACGTTCAACTTTGTGATTCCACGAAAATGTTTTAAAGAAGTTGAACAGGGTCTTGCTCATGTCACGAAAGGGGGTAAGGTCTTCGCCGTCGACGAGGACAAGCTCTGGACACAATCTTTTCGCCTCAGAGACGGACATAAGCTTTGTGAGACCGCGAGCCCGAGCATTATAGTTACAGGTAGCTAGACAATTCTTCTGCTTGACGCCTAATGGTAGTTTCTTGAGCTTCGCGTCCTTGTTCTCAAAGACCTGTGCATAGAAACAGTCGTAGTCCTATACAGTCCAGCCAGTTAGCAACGACCAAGGTCATGATTAGAGCTTGGTGGCCCACGAATTGTAAGATGATTCGAGCGTCATTCCTCTTAGGTCTCTTCTTCCTCGGCGGCTCCATCCTTGACTACGGCTGCCAACCTAATGGGCGAAGGATTGGGGAACATGGGCTCAAGTTTCATGTGCGAGCGGACGGATGGAAGTAGTCGAGAGTGAGATACAGCTCAATATCCAGGCCAAGGTTGTTCAAAGAGCCAGTTTATTTGAATACGGGATCTTGTTTAAAATCAAATAGGGAAGTTACGTGCAATGGAAGAGTCAGCACATGAAATCAAATCTGGGCATGAAATTCAGAGAATGCCCTGAGGTGGGCTGCAGATTAGTGGTGTTGCCTTCTCCCTTAGTAGGTACCTAGGTACAGTAGGTCCCTCAGGTGCCCGTGCCTGGGCGCTGGGTCTGTCCACGAGGTGCCTGAGGCGTCGATTCCATTCTGTGGATGTGACTTACACCACGCCCTGCATCATCCATCATCAAGTTACCTGTATCAGCAAACAACGAACGATTGGTTTTCCTGATGGAATGAATCACCTTGGATGTAATCGCCTGAAGAGCGAAATAGGTCTTGTTTTTTCGAATCTGATAAGGTGCAGAAATAGACGCGACATCTATCCATACTTTTGTTTCAGGCGACTCTCTCTCCCCTCTCTCTCGACACATGCATGGCACCCTCATGTTCGTGTCCACAGCGGATAGGTAAGCTAATATTTCTGCTTCATCCATCCCGATGAAGCGGTAGAAGTCAAATCCCAAAGGGCAACGTCAAAAGAATTACGGGTGCGGTACCCATTAGGTATGTGACTGACATGCTGGGTGCTACTGTATGTCAGTCATTCTCAGGAATAACTACTGCAAACACCAACACCTCATCCCTGCTTTTGGCGAGTAGATAATTAGACTCGATGCTCGGTTGGATGAACAGTCACAATCTCGCCTGTCTGTATGTATCTGTACGATCCAGCCACTTCTTCAACCGTCGCCGATCCCTAAGTTCTCAACTCAAGCGAGTCTGACTCTAGTCTCCCCGCTTTGATCCTTGTCCAGACGACAGACACTACGGCGCAGTTTCAGCCATCCACAGTCGCCCTGTAGCCGCCCAAGTATATACTCGATTTGCAAGAGAAGGTTGTCTGGCCCAGCCAATAGCGTCAACTCTGAACTTTGAAAGACTTGCATTTGGACGAGACGTCCTCACCGCATTTGTTGATTATTCTGCTCTTATGTCAACAATCACCCTCCTCATCACATCGTTATTGTTTGTTTGAAGATTGTCAGCTCTTTTGCGTCAGCCCTAACTAAACAAGCGCAATTTCAACAAAGATGGCCGAAGCTTTGAAAACAAGGGCAAGCAAGCCTTGTCAAAATCATGGCTTAGAACATGGCTGAGCATCATCCCGCCGCCGCCGTTGCGTATTTGCTCTTGTCGAAGGATCATACCGACTTTTTCGAAAAAGCCCTGGACACTAAAGAAGGATTGTCTTTGTTTATACATGCACGCAAGAGCAGTTCTCAAAAAACATGACGAGAACGCAAATGACCAGTCATCCTCTTCTCAACTCCTCCACGCCAAGGCGCCATGTCGTCTAAGGGAGGGGACATTGGAAACCCTCTTGCATAGACGCCAGCGCGAGTGAAAGAGCCGACTTGTTAGCCGCGTGATTGGACATGAGTGAAGCTCACCAGGATCATACATTCAACTTCGGCGCTTGCGCCTCTAACGCTTCCCACCAAGTTGCTCTGACGAGCCAACCACAGCGCCCGCCAATGACATCCTCGTCAACTTGCTACGCTTTTGGCAGGCCAGAGTCTCCCGGGGCTGAATCCTTCTCAAACCCCCCGATATTTCCGCGTCTAGATCATGGAAGGCTTATCACACTGCATGCATGCTTAGGGGCGCTTGTTTGGGTGCCAGGACTGGGTCATAGAGTAGATGAAAGCCCTGGTCATGTCTCCCCGCCCACCCAAGATCCAGTGAGATGCATGTCTCACTGTCTATCATCCTATATAGACGCAATGTCCTCGTTTCTCGCTGTTTGTTCGCGTTGTTTCTGCGTTTTTGACATTGCAACGTCTTTATAATCCCTGTCGGTCCCGGTCTCTCGGTACCAGCGTCTCCGCCTAGGCCTGTTGGACGGTGGTTGCTTGTCTGTTGGTTGATAGACACAGTCACTTGCAACTCCACGAGGCCGATTCGGCAGCTCATCTCTTGTGTACTCCAGCACAGCAACCTTCTCGGTCTACCTATCAACTACAACTACGGCTACAGCTACAGCCACAGCCACAGCTCCATCTAGCATCATGGCATCTTCTCAAGCTCTACCCAAGAAGCCCCGGCTTTCACTTCAAATCAAGACAGTATGTAGTCCGGTCACCAGGTCATCGAGAAGTTATGCAGTGGACCCGAAGGACCCAACTGCCTTTAACACGCTGTCCAATGTCTACGTTACCACAATCGAAAGGGCAACCCCATCTCAGCATGAGCCCATTACTGCCATCAATACTTTGCAAGCTTTCAGCTTGACAACTCCAGTGGAACGACAGGACCCGAAACACAGAGTTGTTACGCCCTATGTCGCTTCATACCCTGAGACTCCTTCATCCGATACAGCTCCTTCGCCACATCCAGGACTGGAAATCAACTACCCGAGCACAATGACGGCCACGCCTCCTCTGTCCGCTGGTCCAATGGATTCAAACACTCACAAGGCCTTTAGCTTTTCCCCTGCTGATATATCCGCGGCCCCAGCAAGAATTGATAGCTTACAACCCGATAAACGTGCTCTTGCTCGCCCACAAACTCTTGCTGAGTTGACCCTGCAGGCCCCTTACACACATCCCCGATCACTTCACAGTATCTTACGCAACTCTCCTCTTCCTCCACCCACAGCCATTCCTCCTCCATCTCCACGGCGACAGTCGCGGCGGCTCCAAGATAGAGCAAATCGAAGAGTGTGCTACAACAACCCCCTCACTCAGGAAATAGTGACAAATAAGTACACGAAATCTCATATTGACCTCCTCGTTGAGGAGGCTTCACCACATTCCCCTCCGTGCGTGCCCCCTCAGCCCCAGAGTGCTGTCGATCTAGCTTCGGCATTTACACCAAACGAGATCCAAGATGGAGGACAGACACCTGGGCCTTTTGAGGATATGCGTCGCCGCATGACAGGACTGGCCGCATCAGGCACTCCGCTTTCCCCGTCGGGACCAAAGGGCATCTCAAAGCGCAAGAAAAGGGAGAAGAAGCGTAGGTGGGTATGGACAATCGGCCAAGAGGATGACGGTGATGACGATAATATTGGAGGGTCCATTGCTGCCCTGAGGGCTGAGGCTGCCAAAGCCAAAGACGTCGAAGAGATCAAGACACCTGTGACGGCCATCAAGGCACCCCTCATAACTTTTCTCACGGCACCGACACCAAGCACGGGTGACTTTCAGGGCTGGAGTGGCATCTTGAAAGAGGATAACGATGTTGAAATGTCTGACACGAGCAGTTGTCTTACAGTACCAGAAGAATCTCAGCACATAACTGGTGAGATGGACTTGGATATCAAGACTCCGATCGCACGCCAAGATGAGGAGAGCCAAGTCGTACTCATGCTACCAGAAAATCCTCTCAGTAGACTTGGTTCCAGTCCTGCTCTAAAGAGGGATTCTCCGGTGCCGCCAGATATGCTACGTACGGATTGAATAAGTTCGGGAAAGACATGGATGTTTATTATTGGGTTTCTTGCATTACCGGCGGTCCTCAAGCATTTGATTAAAAGGAGTTCTGTCACTGTAATTCTAACGAGGATTCGGTAATATGAGGATACCGAGCTCGAAAGTGGGCATTTATGAGGAATGAATGAATAAAATGAACATGAAATTATCTCTTAGCTCAGTTTCATATCTCGTGCGTCTCCATTGCCATAACCTAACACATTGTCATGTCGGTCCACGTCACGGGATGTGTTTATGCAATGCAGACCCAAGAGGTTCGCTCTAGGGTAGCTGTAAATTGAGATAGTGGTGGTTTCCACCACAACAAATGATTGTGATGATAGTATCGGAATACCCCGGTGTAGTTTAGAATGAACTTACCTTGCTCTTTTGTCAGTTTATTTTCACACCCGAGGTATGGTCTTGGGTCTTCTGGTGGCCCGAGGCTTGTGCATCAGAGACTGGCACTTGTATATCTTATTATGGATAGACGAGCCAACCAAGGTGGTCAGAAATATCGAAAGCCGCTAGAATACAGCAGACCCAGACGTACTCATTACGTTACTTGATATATTTCTCGTAGCAAACGCTCAAAATATCATTACATGTCCGCCAGTACGCACTCAGCTCTCAACAGAGAGTGCCTTGGCACCAATCAGCTTGCCGTCAGCGTGTGAAACGACCCAATACTCGGTCCTCGTAGCATCTCTCGTCACTTGATATACACGAACATCGTTACCCTGCGAGGCTTCTCGAACAGCCTCGATGACGTCGGTGTATTTGCCGTGAGAGTCCCAGTTGAGAGGATCCAGGATCTTGATATCTGCCGAGTCGGGGGAGGAGTGGTCGATGAGTTTGGCGAATTCGGCTGGCAACATGTCAGTTTATAATCTTCATAGGAGGAGTGCACTTCTTACACTCGCTGGGGAGGCCATTCTTGCCCTCCCACTTGAGAGAAACCTCTTGGAAGGGCTCGTCTGCGTCGGAGGTGTACACGGCGTTCTTGCACACGTCACTGATAGGTTTGGGGACTTGAGCGCCCTGGTCCTTGGTCTTGAAGGGTGCCTTTTCTTGAGTTGCGGCACCAGCGCCTGTGTCTTGGTTGGCCTTGTTCAAGAAAGCCATGTAATCGTCGTCGTTTGACATGTTGAGGGATCTGGTGTTGCTGAGTAGTCTTGTGTTGTGTCGAGAGGCAGTTGTTCGCGGGAGGACGGTTTGATTTCGAGAAAGAAGAGAGCCAAGATTCAGGTTGGCGAGGCGTCTGAAAGGAGTTCGAAGTGTCATTGGGACAAGATCTCAGCTCAGCTCAGGCGTCAAGTCAAAAGCTGTAACGCAACCAACATGCAGATGCAAGTTTGGGGAGTGGGGTGACGTCAGGCACGGGATTCACAGCAGGGGTACATTGACCAATCACAGACCATAAATGAGCACCATCACTCAGCACGTCCTCAAACTACTAACCTAGTAGGGTACCTAGGTGGGTATTCAGTCAGTATTGAGGTCATTCTATCAAGAGTGTAGTGCACTTATACCATTTTGATTGATTTAGATGCCGGCTCTTCTCAGACGACCTAGGAACCTGTCCTCCTTGAGTTCTTCCAAATCAATACCAAAGAACCTGGCATATAAAGGTGCCAAATGATGAGGTCCGCACGGTCGAGCATCACCGCTAGCACGTCGTTTGTCAAGGAAACCACCCAGAAGCGTTCGAACTGCGTTTTCGAAATCCTTTCCATGTTGTGAGATCAATAAATCCCGATCAATATCTTCAACATCGTCAGCTGCGGCTGGAGCTGCAGCATGCTTGACAAGGTCAACATCTATAATCGCTGCTTTGACCATCGCAGCTTGTCCCTCGTCAAAATATGGGACACTGATATAGTGTTCGTCCATTGTAGAGTTGAGGCGCTTCTGTGAACGAGGATCTTTGGTGACATTGAGGAAATCGTGGAGAAGAACTCGGATCCTGAAGCCAAGGATGGGGTCCGCTGCGATAGTCGAGGTCGTCGTAGTGAACGCATTTGCTGGTGCACCTGAGGCGGCCTCCGTCCTGTTGGTCTTGCTCTTCTTTTTGCCCATGTTTGCGTATCAATCAGGGCGATGAACAAACAAAGAACAATCCCCGTCTATCACTAGTAGGTATTCACTTTGCAAGGTCAAGACTGAGTTGAGTTTGAGTAAACGTAAACCACAAGTGGGAGCTTCACTATGAACAATAGACTTTACACACAATACAAGCAAGCATAGCCTCAGAAACATACATCTTGACATGCAACAGTTTGATAAATTATAATCAATATTATGGCAACAACGACGTGATCAACTGAGACTCATTTAATCATGAATATCACTCTTGCTGTGATATCTTGCATGTACTGCTAGGTTGAGTCGAATTGGCCAGTGAAGCAAGCATTCATGCAGCTAGAGACGGATGATGGAATCAAGGCAGGTAAAAATGCAATTTTAAGATAGTTTTTACGACATATGTACCTATCTACGTATCGGCATGTCTTCCATGACACCAAAGTTTCGTTTAGACAGCCACAGAGTGACACACAAACTCAAGTCAAACACACATTCACCGGAGAACAAAGGTACAGTCATATTAACATTGGGAATCTCGTTAGAATTTTTAAAAGCCATCCCTCTTTTGGCTGGACTTTTTTTTTTTCGTTCCATGCCAGTTGTAGCCTAACCCAGCCTAAACGCAAGGCGTACAGTAGTAACGAACCAACCCTCGACACCGGTGCAATGAATTGGTCAAGACAAGAAAGAGAACAAACAGCCGCTTTAAGCGGTGGAAAGATCCTTCTTGAGGGTACCCTGGTACTGCTTCTTCTCCGCAGGGGTCTGGAAAGCACCGTGTCCAAACTCGGACGACGTGTCGATCCACTTGAGGCTGACCTTCTCGAGAGCTCTTCGGGAGGTCTGGGGGAACATGGTCTTTCGGAGAGTCATGACTCGCTTCTTGGTACCAGGGATAGAACCCTTGACCATGACGAAGTCGTTGTTGACCTCACCATAGCGGACGAAACCACCGAGACTATCAAGTGTTAGCAATTGTCAGCCGATACCTAACGAGTTTGGGTTAACATACGGAGTGATGGTCTTCTTGGTGACATCGATCTCAGTGGCGGCATTGTCGTCAGCGTCGCCCTTACCAATGCGGTAGATCTTGTGGTTGACCGAGGTTCGGTGATGGTAACCTCGCTGACCAGCACGGGCAACTGTCCACTGGACGTGGGAAGGATGCCAAGCACCGATACAAGCAACCTTTCGGAGACCCTTGTGAGTCTTGCGAGGAAGCTTCTTGGTACCCCAACGGGCGGTGACACCCTCGAATCCGTGACCCTTGGTAACGGCAATAACGTCAATCATCTCATCCTGCTCGAAGATGCTGGAAATGTCAACGGGCTTCTCGAAGAGCTCCTGGCCGAATGAGACCTTGTCGGCGATGGAACCACCGTTGACCTGGATCTCCATGAGGTGGGCCTTCTTCTGCTTGAGAGGGGTCTTTCGGATCTGGGTGTGGGCGAGGACACGGACGACGGTGCAGTACTTCTTGATGCGCTCAAGCTCGCGGGTGATGGAGGCACCGCTGTTCTCGGAGTGCTTCTTGGCGTACTTGGTGAAAGCCTTCTTCTTGCTCTTGTACCAGTTCTTGTAGAATCGGCGCTTGAGCTCGTCGCCCAGATGCTCGGCCCAAACGGTGGTGAGGGATCGCAGGCCTCGGGGAGTCTCGATGTATCCCACAAGACCAACAACGATCATCTAAAAGATGTTAGCCATAGGCACATAGCCAAGCGGGCTGCATTGTTCGTACAGGTGGGGTATCGACGATAGTAACCGCCTCAACAATCTCCTTCTTGTTGGCCTTGGCGCCAGGTCGGTCGAGGTCACGAACGATGGTGGTCATACCAGCCTTGTAGCCCATAGCAGCTGTCAGATGAACTGGCTTCTTGGGGTCATCCTTGGGGAAGCTGTTTGTCCCAATGCATTAGCCAATGTCTTCCTCGGCTGAGAGAGATTGCCAAAAAGATTTTTCTTCTTGTTGGTGCAGCAGAAAATACTCACGACTTGACCTTTCCACGGTGACGAGCAGCGCGCTTCCTGGGCAGATAAGCCAGGGAGCCGTGGCGGGGAGCCTCATACTTTCGGTGCTGCACATATTGTCAGTTTACCCAAACTGAAGCAATTGCTTCCACTGTCGAGATCTTCACTTACACTCATCTTGGGCTGGCTGTGTGGTTTGAGGGGGTTAGTATGAACCTGAGTTGTCAAAGCCTGAGAAAGAAGAGATAAAGAAATAAACTGTGGGCGAAATTTTAAGCGAACCGCTCGAAATTCGTGGGGTGGCCCGTGCACAGCCAGACCCCACCGGCCTTCACTCACCGAGCCGACACCGAAAGAATCGAGGGCTAGATTCTACACCGAGAAGGAAACCCTCCAGTCCCTCACGTGACTCCAGTCGTTTCTGAAGGTGGTCTAGCGTGCTCATGTACAAGCAGGGGTAGGGTGAAATGTCTGCAGTCCAACGTCACTGAATGAACACGGTTTGTCGAGTAACGATACAACTGAGTTTTATTGATCAGAGTAAGGAAATTAATGTGCATAATATTCTTGTTCGCCGGTGAAATCGTAGCCAAGAAGGACCATAACCCCCGGTTTTGAATTTCTGTCTTGAGCCTCCCCGTCCAAACAAAAGAAATCACGCCCCCAGATAATAGTGGTATACAAAAAGGCAGACTAATCGGCACAGATAAGAGATGTCTTCAACTCATAAACAACACGCAGCTGTCAAATTATCATTCATTCAACTTTTGTGATGGTACCAGAAACTCCGTTTACACCAGCATTCGCGGGAGTGGATGTCTTGGCATCTCCAGCTGCCGAACTAGGACCAGAGCCATTTGTGACAATAGTCGCCTTCTTCTCGTCTTCCCCACTGTCATCATAGTCCTCGTCAACGTCCATCTTTCTTGCTGCCCTTTCAGGCTCTGTAGGGGGGGCTGCGCGAGTAGGTGGAGGAACATGTTCCAGACTTGGGGGACGATCTTCTTTGGGTGTAGCAGATACTGGTGGCTTCTCATGAACAACGCCAGACATCGGAGTAGGTGGCTGCTGCATTGGTGGTAAGTGGCTGGGACCAGGGGCGTGGCTCGGGGGGTGGTGGGCTGCTTCTGAGGGATGATAGCTCTCAGTGGCATGGCGAGGTGCTGATTCGGGTCTGCGGGGTTCCTCGCGGCGTGGTTCATCAGGTCGGCGAGTATCATCGGCCCGTCGAATTTCGGAAGAGTTACGACGATAGTTATCACGAGGAGGAGTTGACGGTCTTCGATGACGCATGTCATCGAGTCGAACTCGGTTTTCCTCACTGGCTTGCTTCTTGGCAGCAGATTCTTCTTCCCACTCTCGCATACGCTTGGGGCCGACTGAAGGTGGCCGGTCATCCATTCTCTGCATGGCAGCCTCCGCCACTGCGGGTGGAGGAGGCGGTCCTGGCGGCCCGGATGGTCCTTGAGGGCCATTCTCAGTTCCCTGAGCAGCCATCTCAGGATGTTGAGGATACAGAGGAGGGGCTTGGTGCTGAGGGTATGCAGATTTTGGCGAAGGCATGCGGTTGTCATGAACAGGGCGGCCATCGGGTCTAGGGCTGTTGGTAGGTCGGAAAGGAGCCATGCCGTTGGGACCATTGATGTTGCTGGGTGGGGGTGCTGATGCTGACGGTGTCGCTCCACCCCAGTTAGGATTTGCGACTCGTCGCTCAGAAGCGGGAGCAGAAGGCTGGGATTGTGGAGGAGCGTGCGGTGGTTGAGAGTATTGATGGCCGGGAGGAGGGGGTGTTTGACCACGGCGAGGGCCGCCTCGGTTGGGGTCGTTATAGGGCTGGCGCAACTGCTCTTGCTGAGGGCTAGGTTGTCGCAGAGGTGGTGCAGGTCCTCCACGGAAAGGCTCGCCTCGGGCTTCATAGGGATTGGGGGGTTGCGGTGGAGGGTTGATGTTAGACAGTCTGCCCGCCCAGTTCTCTCCGGGGCCTTGAGGAGGTGGTGGAGGACCGGCAGCAGGCGGCTGTTGAGTTGATCCTCCCCATTGTGGTCCAACGGGACCAGCGGCCTGGTAAGCTTGCGGGTGAACATCTGCAGGCTGAGGAGCAGGAGGAGGTCCTCCGTTGGTACCACCAGAGCGAAGGAGCTGAAGTCTTGCCTTGATATGGGGGTTGTTAGGGTCAAGCTCAGCAGCACGCTGGTAAGCATCTAAAGCATCCGTAATCTGATTGTTGCAGCTTTCGTACTATCAAGTTGTCAGTATACAACCAAGAGAAAAAGGGCTGACCGATGAAACATACCAGAGTTCCCAGATCATACCAAACTTCTGAGATATAAGGGTTCAGCCTGATGGCGCGAGAATAAGCGTCAAGTGCGTCCCTGTACTGGTTGATTTGATAGTAAAGCACACCGATGGAGCACCAGAAAGTTGGATTCTTTCCATCTCTATAAACAGCTTGTTGGTAAGCCTCATAGGCTTTTGGATACTTTTGCTGCGACATGTAGCATCGGCCCAAGAGATACCAACTCTGGGCATCTTGATTGTCTGGTCGCATGTTAGAATAGGTATTAAATTGTTTTGCGTTCGTCACGTACCTGCGCCGACCGACTTCTCCAAATATTGGATGGCTCTATCTTGGCTCTCATAGGTGTTGCTCTGCTGGTGATGCAGCCAACCAAGCTGCTGAAGAACTTTAGCATGGTTGGGTGAATGGTCGAGGACACGTTGGTAGGCAGCCTTAGCGCTATCGAACTGTAAAAAGTTAGGCATGCCACTATATTTGCTGCTCTGGCAAGACACTTACATCCTTCTGCTGCTCATGGACATGGCCAATCTGGAACCAGATGTCTTCCTGCGTCAAGGGACCAGGAGGAGAATTGACAATGTATTTGAAACACTGCAAAGGTTAGCTATGCGCATCAAAAGTGGGCACACAAGACCAGAACGTACCTCAAGACTCTGAACCCACTTGTTCTGTTGTTTGTATATTATACCGAGTCGGAAGTAGATCTCATTTGCTTTCTCGAAATCAGGCTGTATGTTCATAACTTGAGAGAACGCTTCTTCAGCGTAATCGTAGCTGCCATATCGATCATACAGTATACCTATACCATACCACAACATAGGATCCTGCGTTGTCTTGTCAGCATGTTGCGAGCAATGCGAATATTCCGCCTGGTGTCCGATTACTCACCTTAGGGTCTCTCAAGTTTACCAAAGCCTGTTGGTATGCATCGTAGGCCTTTTGAAGATTTTCTGTCATTAAATAACAGTGCCCTGAATAATTGGTCAGCGTCGTGTTGTCGCGTCATGGCAGCAAACATACCGAGGTTTCCCCAAGCTTCGCCGTTGTTGGGCTCAAGCTGAACGATGGCGCGGAAGAACTCTAGCGCCTTCTCGAAAGCTTCACGGGTCTTGTAGAGTAGGCCAATTGCGTTCATGGCCTGGCTTGAGTTGGGGTTAGCCTGGAGAGCGCGCTCGTATGCGTGCATGGCTTCATCTGCATTGCGCAGAACCTCGGCATAGCTCCCTATACATACGTAAGCCTATGTCGTCTTGTCTTGCGAACGCGACGCGACAACCACTAACCTATTTGCAACCAAACAGCCTCATTCATCGCCGCGATCTGATGTGATGGCGCAAACTGAGGCGGCGGCGGAGGGGGCGGGGGCACCTGGCCCTGATGCTGTTGCATTTGCATCATGGTCGGCGACGCGTGATGGTTCGCCATTGGGTTGGCTCTGAAACTGGCGATGGAGTTGCTATGGTACAGCAGGGGTCGGACTTGACAGCTGATGTGCGACAGACGCGAAGTCGAATGAATACCACGTGGTATGCGAGAGAGGAGAGTCGCGGTCGTGATTCAGAAAGCTGTTCCAGCTCAAGGGTTCGTGATGAGTTGACGATAGTGGCCCCTACCCGACGAGTAACAAGGGCCAAGCGAATTGAACAAAATGTCTAGGCAGAGCCGCGGCTAAGGCTGAAGCGCTGCGAAAACAATACGCAGGGAAATCGAGGGTCAATGGCAGCCCAGATGGGAATAGAAGAGTGCGGGATGATGGAAGAGATAAGATGCAGGGCAATCCAAGGCGCGACGGATGAGGCCTTTCGCGGGCATGGAATGCGTTGCAGAAGAAGAAAGTGAGGAGTACAGGATGGGGAGAAAGGACCTGAGCAAACCCGTTCCCAAACTCACCTAACCCACGACCAGCGGGCAATTTAAGCGCACGGTGGCGTGGAGTGGGATGGGGGATATGAACCCACTCACACACACTACCCGGACTCCATCCAACCCAACTCAACGCACGCGCTCTCGAGGCTCGAGGCTCACTCACTCACGGTTATGTTAGGTTAGTTTAGGTTAGGTTAGCCCATAGCTTACATACAGTAGGTACATACAGCCCAGCCCACACACACCTCACACCTCACACCTTTCACCTCACTTCAGTTTCCGATGCTGTACCCGGCAAATCACACCCTCCCTACACGCCAACCTACTCTGGCTTAGCCTCCATGGATAGGTAGCCTTCACTCTCTAGTGCCCTACGTCCCTACGGCCTACTGCCCGGTGGCGGCGGTTTACAGGCACGTACCACCTAGAGTGAAGTACGTACTGGACCTGATACTGGCCCTGTAACTGCAACTGCAAGTCTGCAAGCTGCACGCTCAAAGGTAACCTAAAGCTACCTACCTAATAAGCATGAGATAAATATGGAGCACCGAGCAGGTCCCTATCTTTCTATTCTGCGACCTAGGTACGGATCAGTGCGCAAGGGATTACAGAGGCTCCGCTTCAACCTTCGTCAGTTCACACGACGCATCGCAAGAACCACGAGGACTCAATAAGCGGGAGCAATCAGAGTTATGATTTGGCAGTGGGTTATTTAGGTTCCTTCAGTACACTTGGTTCATTCACCAACCCATTTTCCCCCCTATTATCAACTTAGACATCAACAATAAAAATTATGGGCGTGTATCCTGTCACGTCTGTCTTTATTGACTTTGATATCCTCCCCTGCTTATCTGGTGCTGATCAGAGAGAGGGCAGATGCAGATGAAAAAACGTCATGGAATAATTCGGGCAGAGACTTGAGCACCAAATCTATCTGAAATCATGTTTCAGCGACTTTAATTCAGGTGCCATAGTGACTCTCAGTGCCATTATTCGGACTATCATGTACAGCCGCCGCATAGAAGGCTGTCTAGGTACCTTTGAGCGAACAGAGAGCCGAACAAAGTCGCGCATGCATCGATACTGATGGTGTTCATCTCGGGGGTGCTAGGGTGCCAAGCGAAACGATACCGATTTAAATCCAGCAACGCACGTCCCCCATCTTCCATTTTGTGTGGCGCATCTGAAATGCATGCCAAGAGGCTCCAGCGGATACGTACCTCGGACAGACAGTCCTGGGTGGTGCCCTGTCTCGACTCTGCCAGGGTGAGAGGTATGACACTGAGCTTAGCACTTAGCAGATTAGGGATTAGGATGGAGGTGAGACAATAGAAGAGCGATAAGTTTATAACACAGCGAGCATGCTGATCTATGTACGGAGAACAGTACGTCTTGATGGGGCAAGCAGCGATCACAAGAAGAAGTTTCAGGTTATTGTAGCCATCTGGCTGCAGTAACTTGGACAAAAAGAGAGAGCCCAAAACACACAATGGCCACAAATGATGAGTGACGGGTAACATAGATTGGCGAGAAACATGATCAGAAATAATGAGGACGAGCAAGCAAACGAATCGTGCAACGACGACACAATCCCGGTTGAGAGGCGATGATGTAGCCGTGGGTGGATGTTAGGGGAGGGAGGCTGGGTGTATGTAGGTAGGTAATAAATTGTGGCCCATCAGATCGAGGCGGTGGTGGCTTTGCGGAAGAAGTAGAACAGAAAATGGAATCTTATTAATATCGCATGGATGGCAATGGAATGGCTAATCTTTTCACCGCTTGCCGGACTCGCCGCTAAACTATTCCGGAAGTCTACCACGTGTTTCGGAGCCATCCTTTCTCGTAAGCAAGTGGTGCGCCGTTTCGGAACATGACATCTTGTTTTGGCTTGGGGGAGGGGAGATGGCCCGACCAGGGAAACAACTTAACGAGCGAGCGGGAGGAAAAAGGGGTTTCCCGGGCCCAAACCAAAGGAACACATTAGCGCATTATGCCCTATCGCCATGCCCTGGTGGAAGTTTGACAGTACCTTAGCCACCAAAGTGCTGTATGAGCTTGCTAATAATATTTATTAACAATATCCAACATCTAATAATTCTTTTTCACTCAATGCTACCTGTTATGCGTGGAATAGCTATTTATTCAGACCTAACATAAGTATATATACTCCGTGAGAGGAGGCGAAAGCCGCTGATGTAAACGTCTCCCTACCATTATATTCATGGCCCAAAGCAATTGAGCTGTCACTACCAATATTACATAAGGAGTCTCCCAACCCGATGCACGATGACAACGAAATGCACTCTGATTCGTGGTTCAACAGGAGAAGCATATAATGCTCAGAGAACTGATCATCACCATGTTATGCCCTTGGGCCAAAGAAACAAAAAGAGGTGGCTAGATGCCTACTGTGTACTCCGTAATGCTGTTCATACATACATAATAATTCAGCCGCGCACCACAGGGCAGGCAGGTGTTGCTAAAAAGGGAGCACCATGGTTTTGGCTTGGTGCTCTCTGCTTTGTGCTTGGGCTAAGGTCTGTTGAGTCTGTTGTCTGACTAGCCCCAAAGCAAGAGACGACAGCAGAGCTGGAAGCCAATCGGTAGAGCCATTCCTTCTCCGCTACGAATGGACATTGGATCGATGCCGTTGGCTGGATTACAAAGGTGAGGTGATGCCATCTATTGCTGGGGAGGGGGCGGCAACGCGCTTGTTGGCGGTCTGGGGATGCACCCAAAGAAACCGCAGGACAAAAAATCACAGATAAAGTTAGATAACGACGGATGGCTGGTTAGGGTTTGGTCGAGAGGGGAAACGGTCATTTTTTTCACAATAACCATCCGTCAAGAATATCTAGTTTTTATACATATATCTCGTATAGCCATCGTCCATGGGAAGACAAGAACAACAAGGAACTGGGGGTGTCTTACAGACAGTATCGTCGAGTCACATTTTGTGTGGACGGATCAATGAATGCCACTGGCGGGTACCCGAGCAGGCGAGAGACAAGAGGTGAGGCTCGTTAATGAAAAAGGGCGGACCACGGGATGGGATGGCCCTGGGTATCCACGGTAGCACCTGGGTGAGTGAGCCAGGTCCAGGAAGGACGCCAGGGCTCGTTTAAGCTGGGGCTGTCTGGGCGTGACGATGCAGATGGGGACGGGAGATGACAAGAAAAGGTGGGACAAGGGGTGAAGGGCAGCTCCGGGGGAAGAGGAGGGGGCGTGTGAATTATGTATGTAGTCATGGGCGTGAAGCTTGGCCTGGGCGTTGACTCTGGGATCAACCGGCGCCGGGGGCTTAGGGAATGGTGAATGGAGACATGGAGCTGTGGAGTGGAGAAAATGGGACAGATGATGATAGTGGGCTTGCAGTTTTTCGCCCTGGCGGCGCTACCTTATTAGGGAGATGAGGTGGTTTAGGTAAGTGTACGTACTTTTTTGACACAGATCAAAAGTGGAGGTGCTTAGTGCTAATGTACTGCAGGTTGAGTGCTGCTGGGAGCTTACTAGAGCTTGAGTGTACGGAGTATAATCAGAGACATCCCCAACCATTCATCAAAGAGACCTTGACAGGATCTTGATAGTGTCGACACTGGTCAGAATACCGACACGACTGTTTCAAGATTGGTGTTTTCCGCTGCCTGAGAGTTGTCCGAGTCTTGTACCTGGCCTGGTGGCATCTGTTTAAGCCAACAACGTGAGTGTTGCTGCCACTTACCTAGGTAGTTGGGAACATTCATTCTCCAGAATGCTTATCCCCGCCTGCGTCCAACACCTACTTAGAAGCATGTCAGTTTAAGAAGGCACCCAGCCAATCCATGTGACCCATGTTCATCACCAGCAGCTCCTTGGTGTCATATAGCCCATTGAGCACAGAGTATATATGCAACCTAGGACACGCAAATGCGGTGCGACCACAAATCGATTGTATCCGCATACCACCTCCAGTACCTAAAAACAATCTACATCGTCGCGAGAAACGACTTACAGGTGATGCTACATTGCGCGAGGTACACACATATCGTGCTGGGAGGCTACCTTACCTATGTTGTACAACGCCAAATGGGTCCTAGTCTTAACTAAGCGCCAGATTTGATCTTCTTTACCAAGAACAGGTTGCCTGAAAGTTCAAGGTTGATCACTTATAATTGCATGGAGACTCATAAAAGCCAACAAGTCATATTACACGGATGGACAACATGATGCCATCGCCACATGGAGAGGATGAGCCTCGACGAGAATGAGATCACATAACATCGCAGCAATACTAATCCCCAAACAAGGCTACATGCAGCCTCAATAACGTACCAGCCAGCTTCCGCTGCCGTTCTCCGAACGTTGCACCGTGACACACAAGGTGCACAACAGAACAGCCAAGCGCTTTTCATCGCGATCTGATTCAGCATTGGCAAGATATGTGCTCTGCAATGGATCTAGTCCTCAGCTCCCCTGGAGCAGGCCTGGTAGCTTACAGAGGAGGATGGCTCAAGCTACCGGGCCCCTACGGAGTACCTACCTAGGTACGCAGAGTTGGGCCAGACCGACACTGTAAGTTACTGTAAAACACTCATGCCTATGCCGGACGCACAACAAACACCCACTCTACAAACCCATGCATGAGGTGCGAACTTGCTTTTTTCTCGCTCTGTTGTCTATTGCGAAGATCCGCTATCTCAGCAATCTTATTCGTTGTTATGCGACCGGGAAGACAAGCCGCTATTGCTCTGGCTTGCTCACTCGCGTCAGAGTTTTAATTTCATGGCTCTCGCTTCGTTTTGTGTTAACCAACAAGGCATGAGGCTGATTCTCTGCTTTGTTCTCTGAACGCTGACAAGTCGCACCGGGCCGAGCCTCCGTAGGTGATCCGACAGCCGGGAATGGGTAATCGGTAGGAAATAAACCTCGCGGTTCGGCAGCTGAGAAGATGAAAAGTACCTTATCAACCTTACCTAGGATAGACACGTATTTATCAATATCAATCTATGGGTCGTGGAATACCAGCTCGAAAATCTCATGTTGATGACAACTCTTGACACTAGATCTAAGTGGCATTGTCTCGACTACGAGAACCATCACCGGCGGTTGACAGGAGGGATGAGGATCTGTCAATCTGGTCACGACCCTACGTTTCCAGTTCCATTGGATAGCAGAACCAGTACGTACATACACCTACGTAGTTGCTGGGACTGCCTGGGCTGGGCCTAGGCCCTGCAGGACATGGCATGGATGCCCGGGCGTGTTTTAGAGGACAAGAGACCATTCATCATTTCACCCAGGATCTGCCTAACATCTCCACCTAGTCTACCTAGAGATCGCGCCAGCTTTTCTTGGACTGTAGCCCTCCCTCTGCCTTTCTACCCCTGGCTAGAGCCCCAACCTCTTCTTTTCCTCCACTGGACTATGTTTCAGAGGAGCTCAACTCGCTAAATGGCGTCAAGATCAGTCAATCGCGATACATTACTACGGTGCTTTGAAGAATTTTGAAGTCTCTAACTGAGTACACAGTCTTTTTTTCTATACCAGTTTCTGCCTGCTTTTCAAGGAGGTTTACAAACGCACGCCGGACAGTTTCTCTCAACTACCGATCCACTCTGGGGTCCATCGGCACCGACAGCTCATGTTTATTAGCGCGAACGTCAGGGAGCACTTAATCTCTCTTCAATCCCTGAGCATAAGGGTCTGCATACAGAGTCATGTGACTTGGAACGTGACGAGCTTTGAATAGTGGTTCATTTAATGGTTCCTCTGGACATTCAGGCACCTCATCAGGTAGAGTTGACGCACATCACATATTCGTTACTCTTCTAGCTTGGTACCTTAGCAGTCGAATACGAATAAGCCTAAGAAACTGCAATATATGATACTCAGCACAAGGACAACACTCCCTTAGTCATACCAAGTTTGGTTCTTCTAGAATGATATTTGACAAGGTTTCACTCTTAGCGCATCTAAACCGCTGCTAAGTGTCCGCTTGAGACAGTCCCGTCCCTGAAGCTCATAACCCTTTCTTCACATCTTCGTCTTATCCAAGATTAGCAGGGTCTCATTTCTCGACTGCTGTGGTATCCAATGTCAGTCACATTCCGACAATCAATACTAAGTGCAACACGGAATCACGCGCCACAATGAATTGTTACCTGTCCCTCGAGTCAAGAATGGCTGGCTCCAGCAGCCACAGACAGAAGCAAAACTCCCTTGCCTCGCTACGTAGCGCATACACCAGCACCTGCTGAGGAGCGCATACCGTCTGCTTGTCTCACCTGCAGTTAAAGTCGCCTAGTCACAGCGATGCGATGTTGATTTTGTGTAATGATTCACAGTTGTGGAACAAACAGTTGCGATTTTTTGAGACTGGAGGGAGGGACAGGCGCAGTGTAACATGGCCGTCAACCCGTATATGGGCTGAGACTGGTATTTGGTCTGATTATGAGTTTATCCTCATCTTATACGGTAAAGTCCAGTTCTCCAAACTCTGGCATTCCTTCGGGATTGTATTTTGTACATGACCGGATTACTTATCCTCTTGTTGCATTTCCTGACCGGGCCCTACGAAGTCCCAGAAGCAATACTATCCACAGGGTATCGTGGCATCATCACAAGTGTTGAACGGGTGGAGGCTTTGAAACTCCCTTAGCTGCTCCAAAGCCTCTACCAATACCTGTTGCACATGACCGCATGCCAGTACTTTTCAGGGAACTCAACCCCAAGTCTAAGGGGCCAAGAAGCTTACCAGCAAGTATATGCTCGGGGGGGCCGTCAGCAAGCAGATGATACTTAACCTTCCTTCTCGGTCAGTCCTCAACGTTCTACGGACGATGAACTTTCGAACTAGACAACAGGGGCAGCATGAAGAGTTGCTTTGAGTTCGGTGGTTCCCTAGCTGCCTCGTTCGAACACGGGAGCTGATTTCATCCTGTGAGGAGATCTTTGAACTAGATTCTCCAGGCCTGGCAGGAGAGGTATAAACCTCTTGATACAATACCTTGGGTACCTAGTGACTAGGGTCTTTTGAGGGAACAATTCGCTGTATTTATAGCCGATTTTGCTCTATCTCTTGATCATTGTCATGTACTGTAATTCGGAGCCCACGTCGTCTTCTGCATTTCTCTTAACATCAGCCTAAGAGTTACTGAAAGCCAGTTTAAAAAAAAAATAAGATAAAACTATTGACTGTTACAACAACAAAAGTTCTTGTCGGTGGAGAGGCTCGAACTCTCGACCTTTGGATGACTTTGACTTCTCGTCAGATCAATCTGATTTCAGATATGAGACCAACGCTCTAACCAACTGAGCCACACCGACTGTGTTTGACGCTTCCAGGTGTGGAAATCAAATACAATACACTCGGCAGATACGGAGAGCGTCCATTGCCTTCAACAATGGGCAGATGCCTATTGGCGACCGGTAGATCTCATAATTCCGTTGCCATTGACCCTTCTATGTACCTCTAGGACGCGGGGAGCGCTCTGTGACGATGATTCGGAGAAACGTGATCGGATTCTACGGGAGGTCACGCCGTGAGAATCATCACAACATCGGGAGAATTCGTGAAGCCAAATACGGAGTTTTGTCGTATTTCGGTGTTTAACATGACCTCGGTGTTGGAAGGGAAGATGGTTGGATGTTTGATCGACTGCTGCTGGAGGTGGTTCGGGTTGTACCAAGAACAACAATACATGATGGGAGAGTGTTGAGTCAATGGACCGCCGACCTGCAGGCACTTAACACAGTACAGTCATGCAATGTGCCACGACAGTCAACAAGGTAGGTACTATAGTTTGATTCCGCACTATACACATACCACCAAGTCTAGCATAATAATACCGTGATCCAATTCATACTCATGAGTAGGTAGTAAAAACTGAGAGGCAAAAAAGGAACATAGGTATTCCAGCCAGTATTTTCCATGAGTCGATCTTCAGGGTAACCAGCCCAGTAGGGCCAATGGAATTGTATGACATGGGCTAATGGGATTAACTTTTGAGCTGGACCCCAGCAACCAGTGGCTAATGACCCCGCACCTCCAAAAACTACACCTAATTGACCCCGCCAACTCAGTGCTCAGCCTCCTGTATCGCTTCTGAGGCTCACGCTCGGCACAGTTGAGCTTTTTTGCCGCATGCGCTAACCTGTCCCTAGCTCACCACTTGTACCTACTGACACTGTACATCTGTGAGTCTGTGGTGGCCGTCTTCGGAACCCGTAGACCAAAAAAACGGAAAATTTTCTTTGGACCAGACGGGAGGGACCTCTCTGGAGAGCTACTTCTACTTCTACCTGGATCCTCCCACATGCTTTTAACTCTCTTCCCTTCCTCCTCCCTCACTCACTCAATCATCAATCTTTAGAGAGACATCCCATCTGTTTCTTTTTCTCACAACCATCATCAACATTAACAATGTCTCCTACAAACGCCGAGTACGCGCTCTCTCAGTCGCACAAGGAGGTGAGCTACCTTCCCCCACCATTGCCCCTCGTTCCATTGTTGAGGGTATATATGATCCATTGACTCACACTCCTCTAGATGCTTGAGAAGTCTCTCCTCGACTCCGACCCTGAGGTCGCCTCCATCATGGTATGTCCTACCCAATTGAGTGTCTTGGCCATTTCCAGTCGACAATGACTTACACCCGCTGCAGAAGGATGAGATCAAGCGTCAGCGCGAGTCCATTATCCTCATCGCCTCCGAGAACATCACCTCCCGCGCTGTCTTCGATGCTCTTGGTTCCCCCATGTCGAACAAGTATTCTGAGGGTTACCCCGGTGCTCGTTACTATGGTGGCAACCAGCACATCGACCAGATCGAGCGTCTTTGCCAGCAGCGTGCTCTTGAGGCTTTCCACCTCGACTCCGAGAAGTGGGGTGTCAACGTCCAGTGCCTTTCTGGATCCCCTGCCAACCTTCAGGTCTACCAGGCTATCATGCCTGTCCACGGCCGTCTCATGGGTCTCGACCTTCCCCACGGTGGCCATCTAAGCCACGGTTACCAGACCCCTCAGAAGAAGTGAGTTTGCCAACAGTTCAGCCCTGTCACGCCTGTGGCAATATGCTAACCATGCAAAAGGATCTCTGCTATTTCTACCTACTTTGAGACCATGCCTTACCGTGTCGACCTTGACACCGGCATCATTGACTATGATACTCTCCAGAAGAACGCCATCCTTTTCCGCCCCAAGGTCCTTGTTGCCGGTACCTCTGCTTACTGTCGTCTCATTGACTACGAGCGCATGCGCAAGATCGCCGACTCCGTTGGTGCCTACCTTGTTGTCGATATGGCTCACATCTCCGGTCTCATTGCTGCCGAAGTCATCCCAACTCCCTTCAAGTACGCCGATATTGTTACAACCACTACCCACAAGTCTCTCCGTGGTCCCCGTGGTGCCATGATCTTCTTCCGCAAGGGTGTCCGCTCCGTCGATGCCAAGACTGGCAAGGAGACTCTCTACGACCTCGAGAACCCTATCAACTTCTCCGTCTTCCCCGGTCACCAGGGCGGCCCTCACAACCATACCATCACTGCTCTGGCTGTTGCCCTGAAGCAGGCTGCCAGCCCTGACTTCAAGTCCTACCAGGAGAAGGTTATTTCTAACGCCAAGACCCTGGAGAACACTTTCAAGACTCTCGGCCACAAGCTCGTGTCTGACGGCACTGACAGCCACATGGTCCTCGTCGACCTTCGCCAGCATAACCTGGACGGTGCCCGTGTTGAGGCCGTCCTTGAGCAAATCAACATTGCTTGCAACAAGAACTCCATCCCCGGTGACAAGTCCGCTCTCACCCCTTGCGGTATCCGTATTGGTACCCCCGCCATGACTTCTCGTGGCTTCGGAGAGAAGGAGTTTGAGCGTGTCGGCAAGTACATCGATGAGGCCATCAAGATCTGCAAGGAGGAGCAGGCTGCTCTCCCCAAGGAGGCCAACAAGCTCAAGGACTTCAAGGCTCGCGTCGCCAGCGGTGAGGTCCAGAAGATCAACGACCTCAAGAAGGAGATTGCCTCTTGGTGCAACGATTTCCCTCTCCCCGTTGAGGGCTGGCGTCTGGATGCCGGCATCTAAGATGCGGTAGACATGATTGCTCCTCCAAAGGTCATCCATCTCTCAACTTGATGTGATGCCTTTATTATCCAACACGCATTTAACATGGATGAGGCAATGGCGAAACGTTCAACAAGCATGCATTTCATCACGGCGCAGATACCTAGTTTGTTTTTTTGGTCAGGGCTTTTTTTCAGGTCGGGATATATAAGCATCCTTCAACACAAGATGGAATCGCTGGAAAAAAGGTAGTGGGAGTTGGGTTATGTTAATGATATCTGAGATGGTTATTTCCTCTCTCTAGCTGTTTTGTCATTCTACCTACCGGGTTGGAATCAAGATCAGTTGGAAATGCACTTCATAGTGAGTAGCATACAGCTAAATAAATTCAATGGCTGAAGCAAAAGACTCCTCGTCTTCTCTAGAACGTGAAAGTATTCCGACTTGAGAACAGTAAAACTTCGGACCACAGCCTTAACGCCCTTAGGTCGCCATTGAAAACCAGCAACTTCATATGCAAGTTGTGAGGTGTGGTAGCAAGGTAACAGCACGTTGAGGTCTTTGAAAATCCAACCAAGAGAGAGAGAGAGGTCAGAGACTCATCATCCACTATCTACATATTGCAACTTCTGACACATCGTTCATTTACTAAACATCACAACATTGGGAGCTAGCCTTCATGTTCAATCATCGCTTATTCGTTTATTTGTTGCTTCTCAACCGCGTATCCCACTCGGCCCTGAATCCGAGGCTTTCCATCTCATGAAACAACTGCTTAACCTTTTCGCCACCAGTCCATCCATCCAGGTCCTTTCTAAGAAAGAGAAAAAAACGACAACGACGTTTGTATATAATAAACGCAACATCCTGCCATGCACCGCGACGTACTTGTGCTCATCCTTATTAATCCATCCATCAGGTGTTGACCTTTCCATACGCCGGCTAGCCATCAAGAGTCAAACCACCCACATAATGCCTGCTTTTGGTTGTCCGAAGGAAATCATGACGTGAAAGCCACTCGTGCAACACACCGTGTACGAGTGGTGTAGTTAAGTACAATGGCCTTTCGTCTTCTCATGTATCGAATAAGTAAGTGCTGTGCCAACCCCAGAGCTCCGAATAGAAACGACCAGTAAAGAGACAGAAACGCCTGGGATGGATGATTTATTGAGTGGTAGCTCATATGCAAGATAAAAGAATAGCGGCAAAACCAAAGACCAGCTTTAAAAGCCCATAGAATGTTTGCCGGGGTATGTAAAAGGACGTCAATACCAAAAATATGAAAAGTAGTACATGATTTATATGAAAAGTAAGTTGTAGGGCACTGGACTGGCACATCAGTGAGTGCATGTTTGCGAGAGCGGGCATGGTATGGTGTCTATAGCGGACACCAAACTCTCGAATAGTTTATAGTTGCCTGAGGCCTTGCACGCCACTACGGAGCAATGCTTTCTGGGCTCATCATGCCGACAGTGTCGTCCTTGTCTGTTTGGCTGGCGTTGCCCTGACTATGCATGCTATCCTGCCTCTCCATGCTTGGAGCCAAAGCAAGAACTGCAGGGTTGGGGGCCGGGCCAGTTGCTGCACTCATGGACTTCTTCTTGCCAGGGGCAGTACCTGGCGCGCCCTTTTCGGGTGATGCGTTTGCATTAGCTTTAGCCTCGGCAGCGGCAGCTTCCATCTTCTTCTTCTTCTTAGCGAGTGCCAATTGCTCCTTAGGAGATCGTTTCTGAGCGGTTACAATCTTTCCACTCGCGCCCAACCGTGGACGAGGTTTCTTTTGCTTGGTAGGCAGGTCTTCGTCCTCCACAAGGGGCTGATCGCCATTAGCGTGCAGCTTAGCCAGGAAGAAGTTCTTGACCAGGCCAATTTGGTCCTGAATGTTCTCCTTAGTGACTGGCTCTGAAGAAGGCAGTGGTTCAAAGAGATCAGTGGCTGCTTCGCCAGTCGTCTGTGTCTGCATCTGGTATTGGTTGCGAACTCTAGTCTGCAAAAGATGCAAGGGCACGGAGATCATGTCGAGTCCCATCTCCTTATCCAGACCCAAGGCTCGGAAACCAAAGAAATCTTCACCGAGGTCCTCGGCAAAGTCACCACTAACGAACTGCTCACTGCCATCTTTGAAAGCACCAACCCCATCAGTTCCGGCATCTTGAGATAGAGCAGGTCGGAGTAGGTCAGTGAGATGAAGCTTCATCCGCTCATGTAGAGCGTCCAACTTAGTGCTCAAACGATCGAGCTCGTCCTTCGCATACAATTCCAACGAACCAATGTCATGACCATTCTCGTCCAGAGTGTGGAGGATGACTTCCTCGGGAGTGAACCTGGGCTGAAATTTGGACCCTTGAGCATGCACCGGAGATGGCTTCTTTTCTGACTCGTTGTAAACATTAAAAGTGCGACACAGCTTCTGAAAGTAATCTGATGCAACGCTGGTGAAGGTGTCCATGGCTGATGGCTGAAGTTCCTCAAATCCAGTATGGTAGAGGACTTTGGCAATCGAGCGCTTGAGGGCGTTTTGGCATGTTTCGGGGGCCATTACAGGACCGTCATCGCTGATGAAATGAGGTTCAATATCCTGTTCCACGAAGGGATCCGAGTTTGACTTGGGAAATTGGTTTGTATACACCTATATCACATTAGTAAATATAAGCAGTACCCATCATGGTTTTGACATACCTGGGTTTGAACTTGCATCTGCTTGATAACCGAGATCCTGGTTGCAAGTTTCCTTGTCTCTTGAATCTGATGAATATTCTCATCCATCTTCTTCGTCAGACGACTTGTTGGTGCTGTAAATGACCCAGGCGGCACCAGGCGTAGGAATTCCTCGTGCTGGTTGATAACTTTTCCTTCTCCATCTTCGACCCATTGAAGTTTTGGGTGAATATCCGGTATGTTGCTCAAGGTATCATAGTAGTCCGGTATCACCTTGGCCTCATCTTCCTCAATTTCCTCGGCCAGGGTCTCGGTTGGCTTTGTTGCCGGATCTTCCGAAGCCACAGCTGTAGAGTTTGCTTGAGAATGAGTAATGATACCCTCTGCCTCTGCCTCCCTTTGTCGCTTAAGGAATCGACGCATACCAGCCTTGGAGCGAACGAGTGCAGGGGCTTCGGTGTTGAACTTGTTGTCCTTGAAAAGCTGGAATCGCTCCTTGGCAACCAGAGCTCGATCTTTCTTAGTGGTTTGCTTCCATACTTTGTACTCTTCATCCTCAAAGGCCTGCTCGGCAGCTTCACCAAACGCTGAGTTCAGTGCCAGGCCATTGATACTTGGCCCATCAATGTCCATGGCATCAGCGTTGCTCCCCATTCCGGAATGACCGTTGAGCCCGCTTGGTGTGAGCGAGCCAGCAATCGGTGGAGTGGCAAAGCCATTACTGCCGTCAACCTCTGAGCCTTCTCGGACTTTTCCCAGCAGCCCATTGACCTGAAGAATGGGCTTCTGATCTATCGCTGGTGTGTCCTCTTTCTGATCGTTTGGAGCCTTTCGTGCCTTGCTTGTCCCCTTTGCGCCAGCTTTGCGACCTCGTGAAGACATTATGGGCTCGTCATCGGAATCCTCTCCCGCATCGTCGTCTCCGCCATTCTGTTTTCGCCGCTCTTCTGCCTCAACCTCTGCTCGAGAGCGGATGACAAGATCTGGTATCAATGGGATAAGTTTCTCTGCTTCCTTTCTCATCCCATTGGCCATGCGTCGTAGAGGGTGATTCATATCTTGGTTGTACCTAAGGCAATTGTCCCAGATTAAATTAAGATCCACAACAAAATCAGCCTTGGACTTGTAAGTCAGACTTTTCAACTTCTTGGTCATTGTGCCGAGATCCATGGGGTTCTTGATGACTAGAGGTAAATTAGTTTCGTCAGTGGCACGAGACTGTTCGTGGTTTCTCACAATTGTAGTAGTCTGGAGCATCCCTCTTGTTGACTCTTGTCAGAAAAGGAGTGGAATATTCCGTATGCGCCTTCAGTTCTGTCAAGACTTTTTCTAAAGCCTCGTACAATTCCTCCTGGTTCACATTCTCCTCGCTGGCCCATTTACTCCTATTCTTACGGACCTCGTTCATCAAGAGCCGAAGTTCGGCATCAGAGGCGCGAACCTGATCTCGCTTCATGTCGATACGAGCGATGAGATGTTTCAATGTTAGGCTAGAAGCGCCGAGATTGGCGCTACTGAGTGAGCCTTGGTTGGGAACAGCACTATGGTTATTAATTGGATGATGGTTGTGATCCATCTCGGCCTGGAGCTGCTTCTCGGAATCTTCAAGTTGTTGTTGTTCCAGCATAGCGGCATGGTCATTCTCCAAGGTGTGAAAGATGGTGTGGAAACTCCTCCGAGCGGCAGCTTCGGTAGCTGTACGAGCTTCCTCAAGTTTCTTGATGGCATCCTCACCATCTTTATCTTTCGACTGTGAGCCATCTTGATCCTTGTCACCATGCTTGCTAGGTGATGTCACCGAACGAACAGGTGAGCTCCCTGATTTGGAGGGCGACAGTAACGTATTGGCAGGGGCTCCAGCAGAATGAGGCTTTGATGCTGATTGCGAAGGCTCGTCGTCTTCTTCGTCGTCATCATCATCGTCGTAGTCGTCCTCATCGATGGTGCGCTTCGCTTTCTTTAAGGGGGGTTCCTTGATTGGCTCGTGGTCGGTTGTGGGAGGGATAATGTTTGCGGAGGGGGGCGGAGAACGTCGTAGAGCAGATATCGCGGGATAATTATAAGAACCATCTTCGGAGAAGAGCAACGCGACCTTGTCCTCGGTCTTGCGATATAAATCCGCAAATAGGGCGCGTCGGTTCTCTTCCTCGATGTCAAGTGGTGCCTCAGGCATCAGCACACTTGGATTATCAATAGGAGTCTGAGTTCGCGCGGGGACATCATCGAGATGCGATATGCTCCTATTGCTGTTGGTATGGTGTAAATAGGGAGGTTGCCAGGCGGGCTGGCCGTTGGTGATGGACATGATGGACCCGGGGCGATGATAGCGACAACGGGGCGCGAGTCGCCATGCGCAACAAGATGCGCTCGCGTGCGGCGGGACCGAGGGCGATTGGTGAGCTCAAGACCACATAGGACAAACGAGAGGCATCGATAGAGATGGCGTATAAAATTTGTTGATTATATGGCAAGTGGAGGGTGGTGTTTTGATGGATCGCGTTCTGCCGTTTTGTCGTCTGTTCAAGAGGTGAGGTTGATGATTTGGGGGGAGCCTTGTCAGGTACCTTTCCCGAAGCGGAGAGTTTTCCCTGGGAGAGCGCGCGCTGGACCGACTCGTGGGGGAATCTCGCGGGGGAAAGTTACGGGTACTAAGGACCTGAAGAGGCTGAGGTTATAGGCGGGTCGGTGTAGGTGATTGGAGAGTCGCCTTGAGTTGTTAAATCCTCCTCTCTCTACTGAAACTATTGATCGGTATGGCAATCCCTTTGTTCGTTTGATTGTCCGGTCTTCGGCATACTCTCTTCATTGATTATCCACAATGTATCCCGTACCTACAGAGGACCTGTTCGGCCCCGAAGATGCCCGGAGCCCAGATATCTTTGTCAGCAAATCACGTGCCAGAATTAAGTCTTGATGGTACTCCGTAAATGTATCAACTCTGCCCTCCCCGGGTTAGTACTACTTGGCAAACCTGCGAGGAAGTCGAAAATTCTTGAAGTCAGGCAATGTATAGGAGTTCAACTTTCTAGCATGTCTATCTTCAGGTACCATGGTAAGGAACTCAGCCCTCGCTACCCTGTATAAACGGTGATCTTATATCGAGCCCTTTTACCAAGGGTTATAGTACTAGTGACAATAGAATATATGCAAACAATGCAATACACATCCCTGTCTCCACAAACCATGAATGAAGAACAACGCCATCTTTCTAGATCACCCCAGGTATTATCTGTAGCTAGTCCTCGGGGAGCAAGAAAACACTGGAACTAGATATAGGGTGTTAAAATAAACTTAGCAAAGAATACCCTAAGCTTAGGCTAAGGTAGATTTACCTAAATATTTTTATTGCTTAGGGTCAAGGGCCTGTGTTTTCTTTTCTCCCCTAGTCAGTGATACACAAGATCGAGGGGTATGGGGGGCATGCCTGCATCTGTGCCTGTGCCTAGCAAGCCGAAATGGGGCCCCCAATGAGACCACCAAAGTATCAAACTCCAAGTTGTAGCCTTGCAACCCCCCGGGGCATAAAGGATGATGATGCATGCTCCTTGAAGCCGCATTGTGTGTGTGTATCAGTCCAATCGTTAGCTATACTCCTGGTTGTCTAGTTTACTCGACTTTTATATGATCCCACAAAACGCAACAAACTGAAGCCTCGCGAAATCTCATCTCTGGGATTAGAGGTTGAAGAAGCAATCTAATGCAACTCGGCATGAAGGAGCAGGAAAACTTCTGGCTTCGAGCTTAGGTGCCAAAGCAAAACGGTCCAAAGACCTATAGATTTGATACATTGAAGTCACTTGAGTCTTTTTATCGCTTAAGATGGAGCTCCTCAGTGTGTACATACCCGTCGCTGGGGTCTGGGGTAGCACAAAGTGTCCACGTTACACTCTTCTCAATCCAATTGGATGGATGACCTGGCAAACCCCTGTTGAATCATAGTTCACGCACTGCCACAGTTGTTAGACGAGCCCCGCCACAAGGGCTATCGGCGTCACTTAGGTCTCAACATGGAGGAGAGCTCCACGCTTTCATTTTCTCCAAGTGCCTGCCTTGCTACTCGGTCAAAGCTCTGAATTCTAGTCTTCTACAACGAATTATTACAAACTGTCAAACTTTGCTTCATCAAAGAACAGACATTTGTTCCGAACGAGGCGCCACGCTTGGAGAACCGAGCACTCTCTTATACGAAATTGGAAGTTCAAGGCTCCGTTAGACTCGACTTATCAAGCTCAACTCTAGCAACTGGACTCTTCGTGATGCGAATACGACTCCCGGTTGCAGGTACGTCATGGCATTATGTCTCGCCTCAGTGTTGTCAATGGACTGCCGTCCCATTCTGTGATCAATTTTCAGAACTCAAACACATAATCATTGGCTGTGAACTAAACTAATAGCTTGCCAGGCGTCTTCCTGCTCCTACTCCTCATTGCCGCCTACGCTGGATTGACTTCAATACAACTTGGCCAATATGTCAACGACAAGGTGCTGCACTTCACCACCTTCTTTGCGCTTACCGTTGCGTTTTACTGGATTGTCGATACGAATCGAAGACGTGTTATGAATATGACTTTGGTCGTTTGCACAATCGTTCTTGGTGTCGGTTCCGAATTCGTCCAAAGCTTCCTCGATAACGGTCGGGAGTTTGATCTATACGACATTATTGCAAATGTGATAGGAAGTTTGTTAGGTGTTGGTCTTTGCTCGTGGTACCACAAGCGTATGCTCGAGCGCAAGCGACGTAGACGTTACAGTGCTGTTCCTGGCGAAGAGCAGGGTGATGTTGAGCTCGGCGAGGGTCACGAGTCTGGCGTCGTGGAAGGAAATAGTCGCTCTCAAACGTTGGAAGAGGAGGTGGATAACTGGGACGAGAACGAGATCGATGATGACTGGGACGAGGACGAAACACATCAGACTTCAACCAACACTAAGGCGTTGGAAAGTAACGCGGACAATGGTGACTTGGGAGATACAAAGAAGCGAATGGACTAACACGACCGGCGAGCTTAGCTACGGTCATGTAGAGATACTTTGCTACGACTTATGACTGGATGGCCCGCACGATTTATGTTTAACCTTGAATACATTGTGTTTGAAGGCTCGGTAACTGCTTGGTATCAGATGAGCCAGACAAGAATATCCATTATTTTCCCATATTGGAAATTATATCGACGCTGAACTGTCCTAGCATTATTCCCGCCTTGACCAGTCTGGTTCTGAAGTGGTTAAATTAATTATACGTCTTATGGATAGTGCAGACTTTGGGATAAAGTCAACTTCCAGCTATAATAGCAGCTGCACGGGCTATGACTAGCCACGCTGGAAGTATTGCTCATAGCCCTTGTTATGTGTCCCTTTCCTCTATCCTGTCGCGCCATGCCATGGGTGTGTTTGGTGGAAAAGATACAGCTGTACAAGAAACAGCCACAGAATTCATGTCGATGAGGGAACCATGCTTGTAGGAAAGTGCGGAATTCCGATCTCTGATGTACAGCGATTCCGTTCCTTGACTGAGTTGAGTCGGCCCTTTGGAGTCAGGATCAGGATCTCCGTTAGAAGCAGACGGGGTTATATCCAATGCAGATGTTTCGGACATAGGCTCTTCGTCAGCAATAGATGAGGCTACTAGTTCAGCTAGTGTTGTGGCCATGAGCTCATCATCGGAAAGAAATAAGTCTGCCAAATGCGGTGAATCTTTGAGCTCGTCGTGAGTCCAATATCTTTCCGCCTCCCGGTGGGCGGAACCTGAAGCTGGCGCTGACTTCTGGGGAAGAGGACGACCATCTCCAACTGCTCCATGCTGATTAGGAGGACGACGAGGACGACAAGCCAGATATTCAGGCTCAGGGCGCGTTCTGTCATGCCATTGCTGTCTGTTGATATAGGCCGTAGGCACTTGTGGTATCTGGTATCGTTCTTTGGTAAGCCGGTCTGCTATTGCTTTGGAACATTGAGGGCTTTCCGTCTCCTGATAAGTAATCCCCGAATCTATTGGAAGTTAGCAACGGCAATTTGAACCGACACTGTGAGTGTTTTATCAACATGACAAGCCTTCGTTATAAGATGATGTGCCCGATCCTGGGTTTTCCTGTTGAGGAAGCATAGCGATCAATCCACTTACTGAGCCCCGAAGACGAGCTTTTATGTGAAGACACGCTGGGTCTAATGGAATATAATAGAAGCAACTGTTTAGAGGATTTGGCAGATAACTTTGAGAGAAAGTGTCTCGATCAACGAGAAAACAGGGCGTTCTAGGTTGAGAGACTTTGAGGAGGGCTCCGATGTCACTTTATATTTAACAATGAGTTTAAAGTCTAGGTTGAGTTTCGCGAATCTAAGATAAACGATGATGGCTATCTTTGATAGGTAGATCTTTTTTCAGTTTCTGGATGACTGCAAAGCTTTTGTGAACAAGCTTTGCGATAATCACTTGATACTAAAGTGAGGTCTCTACACTTCAGCCAGCGCATGTACCTAGGGACGATCGCATATGATTTTCATCGTGATTCGATCCCGAGCCTGAGAAGACTATTGGATCAGGGGCTTAACATGACTCCTCGTTACTGCCCATCACTCACATCGATGTGTGTTCTTGTGAGAGCTTCTGTTTGAGTATGCACTAGGCACAGTCATTGGGCGACTTAGAGCATATCGATCGTTTTTCTCACAACTCTGATAACTGGGGAAAGTTTTAACTTTAGAGAGGATATAAATGTATCACGCTTCTGAATTATAGTTAGATATGGTGACTGCTCCTATAATATGTCTCAGAAAGACTGGAGAAGAAGACTTCCTTCATAATTTGAGTAGGTATTTCATCACGGAGGTGAGATACACAAGTCAAAGCCAAGGTGAGTGCCCCCACCTTCACCGTTGACCAAGCCAGGTGAGACCCCACTGACGAAATGCTCCAAGTCGCAAAACCCGCCCACGCCTGACCCCAGCTTCATACAGCTACCTCGTCTCGCCCGAATACCTAAATCGACCCTGACAAGATGGCGTCAAAAGGAAAAGAGGCAGCGCAAAGGTAAGAGGCATAAGAAAACCAACCCAGCCTCTCATGAAATTGAGGAAACAAGCTTACTCCCACATAGTAAAGATGCTACGCCAACAAACCCACGGGGCATCCCCTATGCTCCGTTCGTCGACAAGGTCGAGGACTATGTCTCTACTCGTGACGACGTCGAACCCACTCTACGAAGCTTCCAAGAAATGATATCGTGAGTCAAAATTTGTCGAGAAGCTTTAGGACGACGCACGCCCTCAAATGCACGCCCTCTTCCGTTTGCGATTAGACATTGGCGCTGACTCTGGATGGTGGGTTAGGAAATACCAATTCATGGAGATGAACCTACAGAAGCGAATGGGTGGCCTCAAGGAGAAGATCCCCGATATCCAGAAGACTCTTGACTCGGTCAAGTTTTTGAAATTAAGAAAGGTGTGCACGTGCGCTTGCAGCGCATCTTTGGACAAAGCAGGACTGATGCTTAGTGTAGGATGACGACGAGGCGATAGACACGACGTTCGAACTTAATGACACTCTGTACTCCAAGGCGAAGATTCCTACGACAGAGGAGGTCTACATCTGGCTAGGAGTAACGTCCCTTTATCGCCAAACCTGGCAGCAGGAACCTAAGCTGACATTCTACAGGCCAACGTGATGCTCTCGTACCCCATAGACGAGGCAGAGACACTATTGAGTTCCAAGCTATCCACGGCAAAGACCAGCTTGTCTAACTGCGAAGAAGACTTGGATTTTCTCCGCGAACAAATTACGGTAAGTTCAAAAGCCTCCGCTACGAGGGCGGGCCCTCACTGACTATGCCGTAGACAATGGAGGTCGCCATAGCAAGAGTTTACAACTGGGAAGTTGTGCAGAAGCGAAAGGACAAGGTCGAGGAGGAGGAAGAGAAGAAGAAGAAAGGGAAGTCCCAAGGCGAATAATTCAAAAGAAGAGGTCCTCCTGGTATCTGATGTGTCCATGAAATGTTCAACAACAAAATAAGTAGAGCAAAAATAAGAAAAATACCAAACTCTATGCCAACAGAGGTTTGTTGTTTTGGTAAATTATGAGAATTAGCAACGGATTTAGCGCACCAAAAGTATCACACGGATTGTTAGGCAGGTGTTCTGCTTCGAAAAAAATACATAAATTCGATAACAACGTCTGAAATCATGATGTACACAGGAAGAGTACCTACTAACCTAAGGTACCTTTCCTACCTGGCAAGGAGTCTTGACGCTAATAATAAGGGACCTACCTGGTCTTGGTGGAGGAGCTGAAGTGCTGGGAGCGACACCGGATTGGCTGAGGTGTCAATGAGATGAGCATGGGCTGCCCGATACCCCGATAATCTCGATTGACGCATGCAAATTGTTTCCGCAGATGCCCTGTAGTTGGAAATCGAACGTTACAACTTTGTGTACGCCGCCGCAAATATCACAACTCCTGCACTTAATTGCTACGCTATATATAAGCTTCTTAGCTGTGTCACAGGCTTTGAAGAAATGGGCGAGAAATGCTGAGAAGTGCAACCCGGGAGCTGAGGCGAGGGTGGCACTTGTCGCAAAACGTGACAACCCAAACCAAGGTGAATATCAGGAGCCGAGTTTTCTTCCCTTTTTTACGATGTAAAGACTTACAATTGACTCTTTCAGTCCGCTTCGCACCTAAACTCAGCCCAAGCCCGCCAATATGTGTCCCCCGTGGACGCACTCGAGACCGCCATAGTCAACGGCCGTCGTGTCGATGATAATCAAAAGCGCCGCAAGAAAGTGCTGCCCAAACGCTTGTACGATCCGGATAATGTTGTGAAGTTCTCAGACTTCAATCAAGACAATGGGCGCGGGCGAATTGAACGACGGCTGAGGATGCTCAAAGGCTGGGTAGAGCAAAGTCCTGCAGTTCTACTTCGTAAATATCTTGCTCTGGAACAACCGTCTCAAGAAACGCTTTTAGAAATTGCCGCCATCCGAACCGTGCGCCTTCCGGTCGTCGTGATTCAAATGCACCTTCGACATCGGGTGGAAGCCGACCCCGAAAACAACCGAGATCTTGCCCAAGCGCTGCCAAACAAGTCGGAATGGGAAGCCCTGATGAAGACCCTTGAATACAACGGGAACACCAAGGAGCGGCTGAATGAATATATGAGTATACTTTTCGCCAAAACCGACGAAGACCGGTGCCGACTATTCCTGGCAGATATGTCTCCGAAACCCGTCTTCATGCTGAACTATCTGCTAAGATTGGGATCGGGCATAAACAAAATCTCGACTTTGGACCACCTTTTGGAGTACGTCCAAGAACGATTACGGGCAACGACTGAGAAGGCTCGCAAGATGTCTTGGGGTAGAGGGCGTGCAAGCAGTGAAATGGAAAGATTCACGACAGAAGATTTCATGATCATCATGGAACGACTTGCCTTCCACTGTCGTCGCATAGAAGCAAGGCGCCTGATTGTGCTTGCCGATATAATGGCGGAATTCATTTTCAACTACGAAATAGGTTCTGCCGAACAGACGTACTGGATGAGATGCAAGTACTACAATGCCGGCCTGACCGCTATTGCCCGGAATAGCGGATCCGGGCCGCAGCATTCGTCTGTGCCTTATGCGTACGTCTGGGAGGCTCAACGTACTCTTCTGAGAATGTCTGGCAGTCTCCCGGAAGCCCTTTTGGTAGACAGAAATGCGTTCCGCGCTATTAGGACTGTGCTGTCTGGGATGCCAAAGAATAGAGACGAGATCCATAACGCCACACGGTATTCAAAGTCGTGGCCGCCATATCTGCGGCCAGCAGACGGTATGGACGAGGCCATGGAAGTAGAAGAGAGCTGGTCTCGTGTTGTGCGGGCAGGGATGATGATGCAAGAAGCAGGATTCTCCAAACAGGAGACTGACAGCGCATTGGATATTCTGCTAGGATTGACCCCTAGTGGTACTCCAGCAATTCAGCAGCAGGTCAAAGTAGACCCGGAACAAGATCTTTCGGCTTGGCAAGCATCAATCATTGCTACACGCAACGCTCATGAAGCATGGAGGCAATTCTGCCAACCTCCAAAAGCTGGCATGGCTCCTGGGCTGCCAGAATATGCAGCCATGTTCCGGAGATCATTTGCTCGTGATGCTGATCCAGAGAAAGGCACCTTACCAGGAGACAATTCTCTGAGCCACCCAACAAATGAGGACATGAATTTGACGGAACTGGAGAAGCTGCGACAACAACCCCCCACGCCTCAAGAGCTGTATGAGATGATGAAATGTGACGGATTACTGCCCGATGAACACATTCTTCACATCCTAGTGGCAAACGCCCAAACTCTCCAAGAAGCTCATCGTTATCTGCGAGACGGAAGCACAGAACATCACAACTACGCTCTCTTGTTGGTACCCGAACCAACAGCTGATATGCTGAAGGCTATTCCCTTGCCATTGTTCTCGGCATATGTGGATATGTTGTCCAAGACAGTGCACCCCAAAGGCAGTAATCTGATACGCGCCATCCGGCTCGCAGAGCTGCGTGTGGGTCGCAGGAACCAGAACTGGCTACCTCATGTCTGGGCACCTATCATGAAGAATGTCGGGCAGCATCATTATGGCCTGAAACTCACACTGGAGGCACAGCTTCGTCTGATCATACACCTTGTAGATCGTATCGACGCTGTGCAGGGAATGACTCTATTCCTCTTCAACAGATTTGTGAGAACCCTGCGGAAGATTTTGCGAAGAGAGCTACAGGTGCTGGCGAGCGCTGTAGAAGCCAACAACACCAATTTTAACTTACTTGGCGCACTCTATTGCAAAAGCGCCGAGGAAGACGCTGCCAACACCACCGAGATAGACACGGAGACAAGAAGCAGCTCAGCTCTGCATCTATTCCGGGTTCTTATTTCACGTATGAAAGGCTTCTATCATGCACTCGTTGCCGAGGAACAAGAGAGGCAACGGCCAGAAGCTGAAGAAACTACAGATCTATCGTTTGTGGACATGATGCGATCACGGCGAGACCCCGTGTTGGCCCCCTCTGCTCACGACCTGATGCAGTCACTGGCGTTTGCAGGAGAGTACAATGAAATGGCCCAGTTGACAATATGGCTCATGACG